GTACACACACCCACCCACCATACACCCCCATAATACACACCCCCCCCCCACCATATACACACACACACACACACCATATACACACACACCCCCCCACCATATACACACACAAAGACACACCCCCAACACAATATAAAAGACTAAGAATTTATTTTTGAGTTCTTATGCAATCACCTCTGTATACACTACACAAATGCAAATCATGACAAAAATATTTTTGTAATAAAATTAAAATATGTTTTAGTAGGTCTTTGACTTTTAGTGTATGATTTGTTTTTTTCTGGTTCTACCCCCCACCATATACACACACAAAGACACACCCCCAACACAATATAAAAGACTAAGAATTTATTTTTGAGTTCTTATGCAATCACCTCTGTATACACTACACAAATGCAAATCATGACAAAAATATTTTTGTAATAAAATTAAAATATGTTTTAGTAGGTCTTTGACTTTTAGTGTATGATTTGTTTTTTTCTGGTTCTAAGATGGCAACCCCCCATCCCAAGGGAGTATTTTCAGGGGGGTTAGGGCAGCACAAGGGAAGGACTTCCGGTAGCAAATGTGAGGGGTTAAGGGTAGGACTTCTGGTCCCAAGATGTTGCCAGGGGGCAGGGCAACTGTCAAGGGGCAGGGCTGCCCATGCGATCTTCGACAGCTCACCAAACCTTGTTTAAGCAGCCTCCCACCTGAAATAATTGCTCGCCCCTAGTCTAAATCCATCCTGCAAGGCCCCTGGTCTTGCATCCATGCACATGCTGCACCCCCTGACACCCGCTATGTGTCACCACTGCTAGTACCCATAACCTAAGAGGAAAACAGCAAGCAGCCTAATGACTCATCAATTAAGCAATTAGCTGCTCTTCACAATTGCTCCCTCCCTCCCAGGCAGGGCTTTATATGAGCTGTGTTGTCTGGCTGGGCTTGCCTCCTCCCCACCTTCTCCCAGTCAAATTGCTCCAGAAATCGGGAGTGGCTCCCAGCAACAGCTCTGTCAGAGTTGCTGTGTTATCGGTTAATCGTTTTAACGAATATAACTAGAGGAGGTTAAATGAATATTTTTTAAAACAACATTTGCATCCCTACCCTTAATCTACTGGCAACACTCCTACTAATGCAGCCCAATATGCTATTAGCATTCTTGGCAACACAGGCACACTTGGCTCATATTCAACTTCTTGTCCATTATAACCACCAGGTCTTTTTCTGCAGAGCTGCTGCTTAGCCAGTCAATCCCCATTTTGTAGTGGTGCATGGGATTATTCTGTCCTAAGTGCAAGACTTTGCACTTGTCCTTATAAAACCTCATGAGATTCCTTTTGCTCTAATCCTCCATATTGACTAGACATCTCTGAATGCTAGTCCTATCCTCCAGTATATCTACTACTTCACCCAGCTTGATGTCATCCACAAACTTGCTGAGTGTGCACTCTATCACATCTTCTACATTGTTGATGAAGATATTGAACAAAACTGGCTCCAGGACTGCTTCCTGGGGCACCCTGGTTGATACAAGCTGCCAACTAGACTTTGAGTCATTGATTACTACCCTTTGAGCCCAACAATCCAACCAGTTTTCTATCCACCTTACAGTCCATTCATCCAACCCCCACTTCCTTAGCTTGCTTGTAGAAATATTGTGGGAGGCCATATCAAAAGCCTTGCTAATGTCAAGGTATATCACATCCACTGCTCTCCCTACATTCACAGAGCCAGTCATCTTGTCACAGAAGACAATCCGGTTAGTCAGGCATGACTTTCCCCCAGTGAATCTATTCTGACTCCTTCTAATCACCTTCTCCAAGTCCTTGTAAATGGATTCCTTAAGGACCTGCTCCATGATTTTTCCAGGGACTGAGGTGAGGCTGACCAGCCTGTAGTTCCCTGGATCCTCCTTCTTCCCTTCCTTAAAGATGTGCATTGTATGTGTCCTTTTCCAATGATTTGGGACTTCTCCCAATTGCCACAGGTTTTCAAAGATAATGGCTACCACATCTGCAATCACATCAGCCAACTCCCTCAGCACCCTCAGGTGCATCATGTCTGGCCCTTTGTACGCATCCAGGTCTTCCAAATAGTCCTTAACCTGTTCTTTCACCACTGTCAGCTGCTCATCTCCTTCCCAAACTATGCTGCCAGGTGCAGTAGTCTGGGAACTGATCTTGCCTATGAAGACTGAGGTAAAAAGGCATCAAGTATCTTGCCCTGCAAGATACACTGGGCAATCTGGTGGTCGCGCCAGAAGAGAAGGCAGACATCTTTAACAAATTCTTCACCTCCGTTTTCTTGGGCAGGGACCGGGAATCCTCCACCGTGATTCAAGATGGACTCGAGGGGAACGCCCCAAGACCTAAGGTTGAGGAGGACCAGGTTAGAGTGCTTCTGGAAGGACTGGATGTGTTCAAGTCAGCAGGTCCGGATGCTCTCCACCCCAGGGTGTTGAGGGAGCTAGCAGGGGTTATTGCAGGGCCCTTGGCACGGCTTTACGAGTGCTCATGGTGCTCGGGCCAGGTGCCAGATGATTGGAAAATAGCCAATGTGGTCCCCATCTTTAAGAAAAGGGAGGAGGGAGGACCCGGGCAACTATAGGCCCATCAGTCTTACCTCAATCCTGGGGAAACTCTTTGAGAAGATCATCAAGGAGCACATCTGTGATGGGCCGGCATC